GTATCCATTTCCTCATCTGCAAAAAGAAATGAGTGTATCCATCTACCTCACTGGGTTACTGCAAACATAAAATGACAGAAGAAGCCATACAAAGAGGAATATTCACAGCAACTTAACCTGTGACAACCAAAACCTGGAAACGACCCAAATGTTTATCAACAGGTAAATGGAAAAACAAACTGTGCTACAACCAAACAGTAAGACGCTACGCAGCAGTAAAACGGAAAACACACCAAGCAACGCAAATGAATCTTTAATGAGTAGGCTGAGTGAGTGAAAAGAGCCAGGTTTTGAAAAAGAGTGCATACTATTTGATTTCATTTATGTAACATTCTGGGAAATAAAATCAGTGATGGAGTCCGGGTGGGGCGGCTCACACCTGTAATCCCAGCATTTTCGGAAGCAGAGGCAGGCAGATCACCTGAGGTCAGGATTTCGAGGCCAGCCTGGTCAACATGTGAAACCCCGTCTCTACTAAAACCACAAAAATTAGCTGGGTGTGGTGGCAGGCACATGGAATCTCACCTACACTGGAGGCTGAGGCACAAGAATCGCTTGAACCCAGGAGGTGAAGATTGCAGTGAGCCGAGATTGCGCCACTGTACTCCAGCCTGGCCAACAGAGCGAGAATTTGTCTCAAAAAAAAAAAAAAAAAAATGATGGAGAGCGTATCAGTGATTGTCTGGGGTTGGAGGGATAACAGAGGGTCGTGAGGAAACTTCTGGAGCAATGGAAATGTTCTGCATCTTGATGTGGCGAGGGTGTTATGGGTTTGAACACTTTAAATATGTGCAATATAATGTACTTCATTTATACTTTGATAAATCTGGAAAATTTCAGAAACATGAGATCAGGCCGGCCCAGCGACTCATGCCTTTAATCCCAGCACTTTGGGAGGCCGTGGTGGGTGGATCACTTGAGGTCAGGAGTTTGACACTGGCCTGGCCAACATGGTGAAAACCCGTCTCTACTAAAAATACCAAAATTAGCCAGGTGTAGTGGAACACGCTTGGAATCCTAGATACTGAAGAGGCTGAGGTATGCAAATGGCCTGAACCTGGGAGGCAGAGATTGCAGTGAGCTGAGATTGCACCATTGCACTCCAGAGTAAGACAGAGCAAGACTCTGTCTCAAAAAAAAAAACAAAAACAAAGAAAGAAAGGACAACAAGGTAAGGGTGTAATGTCCTATCACAGGACTGGACACATAGTAGGCACTGAACAAATGTCAGCTCCATTCTGGAGAATAAAGAATAATCTCATTAGAACTCCTGGGAGAAAAACATGAGAGACCGCCAGGGAAAGGAGTCAGCATTTACTTCCAGGTTTACCAGGACCCAACTATGCAGGATAGGCTCATCTCAGCTAGAAAGCTGAACAAGGAAGGAAAACAGAAAGATAAACAAGGCTTGGTCCTTGCCCTAAGGGAAACACAAATAGGTTTAATATATGATGTAATCAAAGTGTCAAAAGGACGGTATTGACAAACTACAGGCGTGCACAAGAGAGTAATTCTAATAGAATGGTTGTCAAGAAGGAGAAATTCCAGGTGGGTGGGGTTCTGGCAAGCAGTAAGAGGTGGGAGCCTGTGCAGAAAGAGCTGCCTGCACTGAATGGGGAAGCAGAGAAAGGAGGGTGCTGGGCGGCAGCAGCGGGCAATGCCATAGCACACTGCTCTGGGGAGCAATAGGGAGAGGATCTGCGAAGGGCAAAACCAAGCTACGGAAAGCCCTGAGCTCTGGCTTGAACCTCAACTTTATCCATCTGGGGGAACCCCCTAAAGAGTTGTATAGAATCAGATGTGGTTTATACAAGCAGGTCCTCTCTACAGGGCAACTTGGCCATTTATCAAGAGTGCCGACATTCGCATCCCTCAATTCAGTAATTCCTGAGGAAATAGTCAGAATGTGTACAAAGATTTATGGACAACATTGCTTATCACAACATTATTTGTAATAGCCCAAAGCCCAAAATAACTTAAATGTCCAATAAAAGGGGACTGCTAAATAAATTATGGTACACCGAGTGATTAAATCATATATGGCCATTAAATCATACTTTCCGAGCACAGGGATGACAGGGTGCACACCTCAGTGTACAACGCTAAGTTGCAAAAAAGCAGGGTACAAAAATATCTGGTGAGAATTCGTTCAGCAAATATTTACTGATTATCTATTAAGTGTCAGGCACTGTCCGAAGCACTGAGGAAACAGGAGAGAATAAAAGAGAGAAAATCCCTGCAGAAGGGATTCTACCTTCCAATGAAGGAAGGCAGACAACAAAGAGGAAAGAAATAGCAATCAGCAAGATATACAGCAGGTGATATGCAAAGAAGTGCGATGGAGAAAATCAAGAGGGGAGAGACATGGGGAATTGGGGAGAAGGTAGAAATTTTAAGGAGATGGTCAAGGAAACTTTCAGAGAGAAGGGAGTCAAGAAGATGAGCAAGGGCATCCTTGGGGAGGGCCTCCAGGCGGAGGAACAGGCAGTGCAAAAGCCCGGGGGAGGCCTGGTAGTTCACGAAAGAACAAGGCCAAAGCAGCAGAACACCAAAGACAATGAGAGAATGCGGTCAAGGGGAGCTGTGTGGCTCCCAGTGTGGTGGGAGCCACGGCAGAGCTCTGGGCAGAGGACTGGCAGGGTCAGTAGGAGACGAGGGCAGGAGCTGGGAGGCCACATGGGATGTCCCCCAAGTGCTGTCCTAGCTCATTATAATGGGTACATGTTTATTTCATAATCAGAAAGCAAAAGATAATTCCATCAAGGACAGCACAATGCACAAAAGCAGTTCGGATGCTGCGGCTGAAGCTCAGGGAAACAAACAAATAAGGAGGTCAGGGAAATCATTCAGAGATCAGCTACGAAGCGGCAAGCAGGCAAAGCACCACATGGAATCCTCACGTGTCTTCATGTGTTCATGAAGCTTCTTGGGAGCAAACTTACTCTTCCTAATAATGAAAGACACATAACCACGATGCAAAAATCTCAGAACTGTGCCCAGAATGAGGGGTACATATAAAAAAAAAAAAAAAAAAATAGAAAAAAAAAAAAAAAAAAAAAAAAAAAAAAAAAAAAAAAAAAAAAAAAAACTGCAAAAGGGAGAAAGAGAATCCCCCAACATCTCAGCATCCTAACAATACTTCACATCTTGGTATACTTCCTTCCAATCCTTTCTCCTAGAGAGGATTATTTTTTCCCTAATCCTCCCACAATGTCCAGCACGCTGTATGCACTCAAATATTCACTGAACAAATAAATGGAGGACCAAATGCATAACCAACTTCTCTACATAATTGTGTGTTATGTTAGCTATAGTAGAGGCATTTACAGACATGGTTTTCATAGGCTTGGGTGAAGGAACGGCAGCTGCACGCAGAGAGAAGTCATGGTCATAGGTATCCACACATTGAAGAGGGTGGTGGTGGCATGACTGACTCATCAAGGGCACTGGAAGGAAGCAATCTGAAAAGGAAGATCCTGGGTTCAGTTTTGGTGACTTCTTGGGGGGAATGCATAGAATACCCCTGAAGAGACTCTCAGTGGTCCTCTCTCAGGGCTCAAGAAGCAGTTGAAGCCTCAGCACAGAGACAGTCACAGCAGAAAGAGTAGCTGAGGAGGAGAGGAGGAAGAAAAACACTTGCAGACATGCCAGACACCGTGCTAGAGCTTTACACATCTCCACCCCTTCTCATCTTCACAACGGCCCCGCGAAGTGGACACCCGTGTTCCTCTCATACATGAGGACATACAGGCCTGCAAGGCTCAGTGATTTACCCAGTTCCTCTGAAGCAGAACCAGGACTCAAAGCCATGAACATGAAGGCTTTTCCCACTCATTCTCCTTCCTGATCATAGAAGCTTAAAGAATACTCAGGATCCTAGGGAGAAAATGTGTTCAGATGAATTTATTACATAGTATCCAGTTTTTGCTCTCAAACTCCTGGGACCCAAAAAGAAGAGCGTGTTCTTCCTCTTCCAAAAACATGTCTTAAGTGTTTTCTAACTTATGATTAAAACCTGTTGCGTTCTTCTTTTTTTTTTCATGCGTATGAGTCTTCTGTCTCCCACCAAATAGAACACTCCAAGATGCCAGGACACAAGCCCCACGACCTCCCCCCACACTGGCCCAGCACTCTGCACACAGCAGGTGCTCAGCAAATGCTCTGATGCTTATGCTGTCCATCCCTTGACAGTCTTCCTGGGCCATTCCCTGTTTCCTTAGTCCTTGGACACTCGTATGGTAGGTGACCCAACTCCCTCTGGCTTAGCCGAGGCAAAGCCAAGCCCAGTTGAATGAGTCCTCTTGCAAGAGAGCAGACAACAGGCAGGTAAGTTTGGGTGGAAAGGCAGATGGGCAGATTCATACGAGGAGAGGAGGCAAACCTTCCCTCTCCACGGGGCTTGCTATAGAACAGTCTGCAAACTGGTTGGCTCATGGACCAAATTTAGCTTATCCATGTATATTGCTTGGCTCACACATGATTTTCATTTGTCAAAACTGTAATTAGTTGCTTTTTTTTTTTTTTTTTGAGACAGTCTTGCTCTGTTACATCCAGGCTGGAGTGCAGTGGTGCCATCTCGGCTCATTGCAACCTCTGCCTACTGGGTTCAAGTGATTCTCCTGCCTGAGCCTCTTGAGTAGCTGTGATTACAGATGCCCACCACCATGCCCAGCTAATTTCTTATATTTTTAGTAGAGACAGAGTTTCACCATGTTGGTCAGGCTGGTCTTGAACTCCTGACCTCAGGTGATCCACCTCCCTTGGCCTCCCAAAGTGCTGGAATTACAGGTGTGAGCCTCCACACCTGGCCATTATTTTTCAAAAAGTGAGAGATTTCACACAAAAATCTGGATCTCTGTAAGCTGCCCCGTTGAGACAGGCCTGCCCTTTTCACTTCCTCACAGCCCCACCCATTCCAGCTCTCCAACTGCACCTCATCCCCTGCAGGCCTCTGCTGGAGACCCTGCCTGCCCCTATCCACATGCACCCCGTGTACTCACCGGCACTCAGAGTCGTGAACTCCAGGAAGCGGTATTCATAGGACACATCTATCTTGGTTTCCACCTGAGGCCTCTTCAAAGTTGAATAAATATTCCCAGGCCGTTTTTCATCACGTTTCTCTAACTTGTTCAATCCGCAACCCATTTCAGCAGCTGCTGGCCAAAGAAAAAGGTGGGGAGGTGATTTTTTTTCTGAGATTTTGTCTTTAAACACCCTGGTATAAAAGAAGCCGTAATTCTCCTGAAGAATACATGACAGACCTCAGCCTTTATGAAACTCACAGTATAATTTAATATATGACCTGAACACAGAGGTTTGTGCTCCGTACCCAGGCTGACTTCTGCTAAGATACTATTACCAGCCATCCTGAGATTGTTTTTATTAATATGACATCAAAAGCATACCTGTTTATATCTCTTTTTCCCCATCTGAGGAAAATAATACCTCCCACTGCCTCAGTTCCACTATGATCTGTATCCATGAATAAAAAATGGGATCTAAAAAGCAATATGGTACATTATAGTGTCAGCCCATCTATAAAAAAACAAGAGTTATGTCACCTTCACTGTGGTCGCTAAGACAGAATAAGTTGTTACAATTTCCAAACTCCAAGTCCTTTCTACCCTCAACAGTAATTATTTAGACAGGAATTATATTCATAAAACATCTCTAAAAGTAGATGGTAGTGTTTTTATGGGCCTTGTCTAAAAGTCCCCCTTTTTCTTCTTTTTTAGACCAAACTGCAGGAAATAATAGTGGGCGTCCATGCTCTTAGAGAGTCATTTTAGACCAAAATGAAAACTGACTGAACACTAATAGCAGGGATAGAGCAATTGGAAGCAGAAATCCACGTGTATTAGAGCAAAGATCTGTAGTTACAGTTTGAAAAGAAAATAAAGAATGCTAAAGTGATGTGCACATTAAAGTGAGCCCAGCTTCCAATCGTTCATGGGATTAAAAACAATGAAGGCTCTCTGTTTATTGGGGCAGAATGGCTTTCATTAAATAGCTTTTGATCCACTCCCCCAACTCCTGCAGAAGATATTTCCCTCTGTATACTAAGCGTAAGTGATGTTTCCCTCCTCTCTGGGGTACCACTGCTGCCATCAGAATATATTTCACAAAAATATTAACCAGCCAAGAATATCACACACAGAAACACAGTGACCACTTCCTTTTAGAGATAAGAGTTTCCTTTTGCTTAATTCGCTTACAAGGTACCCAGCTTCCTAAGGCAATTTGGCAAGCTCCAGAAAAATAAACTGAACCTCAAAAAAGCAACGAGGGCATGGGGCGGGCGGGGTGGAAGGAGGCGGTGTTACAACAGCCAGACTCTGCTTTTCAGTCATTAAAAAAAGTCTGAAAGAATGGATGAGAACAGGAAGGCTTACTTATGCCTTAATAAGGGAACATTAGCATCCAAAGGGCCAGAGCAGACATGATTTATGTGCAATCTGCATGAACTGATCACTTATAAAATACTCTGTAGTTCTGCAGATAAAACAGCTGATACATAAAGGGCTGCACATTGAACTGCTGAAAAGCAAACCGGCTGGCATCCACTGGGGCAAAGCAGAAGAGAAATGAACAAGGAAGCTTCGAAGTGCTGGGGACAGGTAACCTGGTGAGATGGGCACTATTACTGCTAGAACGGAACTGCAAAGAGCCCAAAGGCTCGCCAAATCACTCATTCATGCAGATTTACTCATGCCTACAATGGGCAAAGCATTATCAGCGATTCAGACCGTGTGGTTTTTGCCCTCAAGGAGGTTAGCCTAGTACAAGATGGGAAAATGGCAGGGGCCTAGAGAGGGTATTTGGGATGGGCTTTGCTGGACAGACTCCAAATGTGAGGATGCAGAGATGGAGGAACAGCAAGAGCAAAGGCACGAAGCTGCCCCATTTGAAGGGAAAGGGCAGGCAGCGCAGTTTGGAGGGGCAGCGTGGGGTTTCGGGTGTCAGAGACCTGGGCCCACCACTAGCCCATATGCCTTTGTGAGAATTAGAAAGAGGTGTCCCCTCCTCTAAGGAATGCAGCCCTGTCCCAGCCATGCCTTACTGAGCACAGCAAGGTCTAGATCTAAGTCCCTGTCTACCCACTGGGGACAATCTTTATAACTGTCTGTGGCAGTGCTGCTTCCATAGGGGGGAAGTTAAGCAAAATTGATTATGATTAGCTAGCCATATAAATAATTATGGAAATGGAGGCAAAGATTTCTTAAAGAGGACCCCTAACTACAAAAGAAAATTTTGATAAAGTGGGCTATATTAAGATTTAAAACTTCTGTTCCTCAAAACGTACATTAAAGAGTGAAAAGGCAATCCAGACACTGAAATAAGCATTTGTCAAGTGGTGCACTGGTAAACCAGCTCTCCAAAAAAGAGAGGAAGCCCCAGTTTGTAGTTTGCCTATTTCTGTGGTGTAAACACACCCACCGTGGCAGATTTCAAGCTGACAAGCATGATGCTACCAAAGGCAGAGTCAGGAAGAGTTGCTAAAATCAGCTCTCAAAGGCCAGCGTGTGTTGGCTCCTGCACACTAAGGCATTCATACAATGAAGGACTCACATCCACCATAACCAGAGAATGCCTAACAAATTGATAAGCAAAAGATATACTACCCAACAGGTGAAATGCCTCAACAAATACCCATGAGGATGTGCAAATGGCTAAGGAACATATGAGAAGCTCAGCTTCATGACTCATCAGGGAAGCGAAGGGAAGACCACAGTGAGATTTAAGGCATCTACCAGAATAGCTCAACATTTTAAAAACTGATAATACCGAGTGTTGACAAGTATAAGTAAATGAAATTCCCCTACACTGATGATGAAAGTGTGAATTGGTACAAACCACCTTGGAAAACTGACAATATGTTGGAAAGCTGAATGCACACCTATCCTGTGACCCAGAAATTCCCATCCTGGGTATATACTAACAGAAATGTATAGACATGGGCTTCAAAAAATATGTACCAGAATGCTGACGTAGTCATCCTGGAAACTGCCCAAACACCTTCCAGGAAAATAGATAAATACATGTGGTACATTCACACAATGAAATATTATAAAGCAACGAAAACATGGAAACTAAGATTACACGCTACATTAATGAAGCTCAAAAATACAAAAGGAATGGGGGTGGGGGCAGCCAGACACAAAGGGTTACATTCTTTCTTACTCCCTTTATATAGAGTTCCAAAACAGGCCTCACTCATCTCCAGCGTTAGAAGCTGGGGTGCCGGTTACCCTTGGGAGAACAGTGACTGCAGAGGAGGATGAGGGGCCTTCTGGGGTGCCAGCTTTGCTATTTCTTGATCTGGTGCCAGTTACACTGGTGTGTTCAGTTTGTGGTGATTCGCTGGGCCACTGAGCAGTCTCCATACTGATCTGTGTGATACTAAAATGTTCAAAAATAATAAACAAATCTGTGACCTTACAAATGCACAGATACATCTCCAACAATAACGTTAGGATGGAATAAAGGCAAAACACAAAATCATCTATGTACTGGGTGTCAGCTCTTCAGAATAAAATCTGAAGCAACATTACAGCAGGCATGTTCATCTGATGCTAGCTTATCCAATAAAGCCACTTGTGTATACACTACAGAGTTCTGAAAAGGAGAAAGAACTCTTCTCTCTATCAGGCTGGCGGCAGGTTCTAAAGGGTGGCGGCAGGGCCCTGCTGGAGACTGACAGGAGCAAGGCTGAGTAAGGCATGGGTGGCTGGCAAGCAAGGAAAGGCACTCACACCCACCCGGCTGCATTACTCAGGTAGACCTGCCTCGCTCTGGAAGGCAGGGTGTTTGAAGACCTCCAAGAAGGAAACTCTTCCTCAAAATCCTCCCACTTTTGCTACCTTATTATGTAAATTCTAGTATTAGAGGTTCATTCCTTTGAAATCAGAATGACCTTTCCTAAGTATCTCCTTTGAAATGGCAAATACCTCCATGGGAAGGACAACAAACAAAGCTCATGGTAGCCACTATCACTTTAGTATGATTTTATTTTGTCTATCATTTTTAATTTAAATTTAATTTCTTTGATAAAGGACAGCTTCCCTGATAGCAGAAAGAAGAGGGTTACCAGGAAGAGAAGAAAGATATGGAAAGGGTTGGGGTGGGGATCAGGAGAGCACCAAGAAGCATTAGAAAACTCTTGTGATTCATAACTTTGAGTTTCAAGTTTCAATCAGACTGTCCCAATCTTGAGGCTTCCGCCCCAGCTCATCCCAAAGGGCACTGTGCTTGATATCACAGGACATAAAGGGGCTCTGAGAAAATCATCCGTATGATCAGACACAGAAAAGATAAACAGTATGTTAAACCAAATTTGGCTTGAGGATGCCTCCATACTTGAGCTATTACATAAGGCATTGCAACTTGGTTTAGTAGGTGAACTAAGTGAAAGCCTAACTTAGGATGTAGACTATGTAACAAATAGCTGAGTCTTAGCCAATCACAGCAGCAGAGATGCAGTCAATCACAGGCAGCGAAGGAACGAATGTAACCAAGCCAGCTGTCTCTGTACCTCACTTCTCTTTTCTGTACAGAAAACACTGCCAGGATGTATTTCAGGCGGGTCACTGAATGTGTCCTGGTTTTGAGGCTGCCCAATTTACGAATTTTTCTTTGCTCATTCAAACTCTGTTAGATTTAATTTGTATCAAGTTTTTATTTAATAGCAGCCAGCAGTGAAACTGTAATATCATTGAATCCTTGGGTCTCACGTTTTAGAGACCGATTTCTCTAGAGTGCATGCAACCCTGGTTAAGCAACTGTTTTTAAAGCACAGCCCTCTCTGGACAGGGAGACACAGGAAGTCATTGCTGGCCATCAAAACCTTAGTGTGAATGTGTTTCTCCTACACTTTTGTGTAGAGGCAGCTACCCTGCTCCCTGCTGCCACACCTGCATTCCTTTTATTTCTCTCTGGATTCTTCCACCAACTCCTACCCCTGTCAAAATAGGAAAGACTTTTACATCATTCCAAAAATGTCTAGACTATGTCCAAAACCAGTCAGGAAAACCTAGCTTACAAAAAGCAGGCAAAACAAGGTGTAACAGTGCCTTGCACATGATCGCAGAGTTTTGTAGACTGTGCTATTTACCATGTGACGTTCCCAAACCATGCTCACATTAGAATCCTGCAA